TCCGAGGGTAATAAAGAGTAACAGAAGAGACAAAACCAGCTATCTGGAAGATTTTAAATACTTAAGGAATAAGCAGTAGAAGAGAACCAGCCAGAGAGGAAGGAGGAAAATGAAGAGAATTGTGTTGAAACAAGCAAGTGGTGTGGTGGTTAAGACACTGGACTCCCACATGGCCAATTACAGGTTGAGTCCTGGACCCAGAAGCTTGAAAATCACACTGGGTACATGAGTATGCATGCCCAAAATCACAAGGGGAGAATGGAAGAGAAGGCATTGCAGCATGGCCATTACCCCTGGGGGGTGACTTCCACTTTCTCACTGTCTGGTGAGTGCATATACTCTATGAAAAGAAAGAAAAGAAAAAGAATTGTGTTTTAGAAACAAAAAATAGAAGGACAAATGAAAAAGAAGTGGTGTAAAATGTAAAACAAAATAAAAAACGGTCTGTTGGATTTAGCAATAAAGAGGGGACAGCAGAGCTCTAAAAAGTTAATGGAAAAATGGAATTAACATATAATTGTAGGGACTGCCAAGATGGCAGAGCTCAGGCGTGTAAGTATACATGGAACAGTATTCTTTGGAACAGCAGCTAGTTTCTGTGGACTAATGGAAAAATTCATTTTCAGACACCACTTCAAGGTTAAACATGATGCTTGGAATACATATGCATCATTGACCATGCTTCTCTTTTTGTCTTCTATAACTACTTGTGACTGATGCTTTGTATTCAGGTAATATAAAGAAAATTGTGTTCTTTATAGTCCACTGATTGGCATCATTTGTGGTTATTTATATCCCTGTTCTTTGACTTTTTCTAAAAATGGGCATCTGGGATTCAAATATCATACTGTTCCACTGCCACCAAAAGGAAGAGTTTTGCTCCAGTCTACTGCTTCATCAAACAGAGATAAGGGCAACAGTGCTTCCTCTCATCTTTCAAGCAGGGTTTGGAATATGTAATGGTCTACAGCATTATGGAATATTTGTAAGGACACTTGAGAAAACTGTACATGAAGATTAACCAAAGAATCAATGGATGCCAACTTAACAGAATGGATTTTTTATGATGAGGACTCAGGCATTGCTCAGAGAATTAAAAATTACTCTGGATAGATCATTTGTTTCTATTCCTTTTGCCTAGAATATAGCAAATACTCAATAAATATTTAGTAATTCAGTGAATGGGAAAAATACAGTTTCATTTTGGTGAAAAAATTTAATTCTTGCATAGTTTTCTCATATTATACATTAGCTATGAGCTTTTCAAAGACTCTTTGTATTATTCCTCATGGTAGGACCAGTTTCAGTGGAATGAGATGGATGCATTTTGCCAGTGGGTCAAGAAGTAAGGACCTGGAGACAGACAATATGGAAACTTCTTTTTCGTGACTTTCTCTTATTCCTAGAAAGAGCACAAGTATTCTTATTGCTATACCATGTATTCTGATTTTTTGTTTATGATCACGGAAGTTCTAGACGATGAATCCAAGGAATTAAATAAATGATTTATGCAAAGGGAGAGGAGAGGAACGTTTCCAGAGTTGCTGTCTGCATTTAAGATGATAAACCATAAAATCTAGGGGAAAAAAAGAGTCTTCACTGACTCTTGGATTTTTTTTTTAAGCTAGAATTGAATTTCCTGTGATGACAACGAAGACACTGTTATCTATCACCTATCATTTTCTAGTACTCTGGACTCTATATTTAATCTTCATAGCAGCCTATTAAGGTATAGAATATTAGCCCCAATTTGCAGAAATAAACCAGGCTTAGGGAGGTTTAGTGTACCTGATCACCCAGATGGTACATAGAGAAGGCACTTTATGATTGTTGAAGCTATATTTTCTTCATCATACCCAATGAGCAGCAAGAAGTTTTTTTCCCTCTGAGACAGGATTTATTTGCCTGAAGTTCATGAGAAGGAGGGAGAACGATCCTCTCGGGACCATAGTTTATATGTGATTCCCTAGCTGGAAGAGGGCAGGCTGCCATTTGAGAAGGAATTGATAAAACATACTAAATGAAACAAAGTCAAAACCAAAAAAGGCATCGAGCAAGGTTAAAATGATGTGAATAATGATGTGCATTAGTTATTTTAATGTCTTCCAAGTGCATTTCATTTTGAATGATATACTCAGATAGCACACATGGTAAGGTATAATTGAAAAAACATGTCAAGGGATGGCTACATGCAAAGAATAAACATACAGCTGTGAGGAGGCTAGGAGTCAGAGGGGTAAGTATATGCCCCATCCTCCAGGGACCTCATTAGTGCACGAGTGACCATATATGTAGAGGCTAAATGAATCTCTGTTTGCAAAGACCCACAGTAAATGAGACAATGACGAATCAATAGTAATTAGGTCTATAGATTCTTATTGACCCAGATGTCTGAAACCAAATGCCCTGCTCTGAGATTCCTTGAGAGGCAGAATGAAAAGATTTATAGATATGCACTCTTAGGGAAAAAAAATATCTCTTTACTCTTAAGAGCAGTGGTGCTGTTCTGAAGTGTGAAGTTGTTAGAATTAGTGCAGATCCTTGACTTTTGGCTAGAAAAGATGTTCTCGAGGCATTTCTTGTGAATGTGATTCCTGTGGGACAAAGAGTGGAGAGAGCCAAGAGATGGAAAACCAGGATGTGACATCTTGTACCCCAATATGTTCTGGGCCTACTCTCCCTGGAAGCCTCAGAGGATCCTTTTCTAAAACTATAAAAGACTCATTACAAAACAGAATTTGAATGTGGGACTCTGACAAATAATTTTTGACCTGAGATACAGAAAGCACATGATTCAATCACTCAATCAAGAGTTGGGACCAGCAGTTAGCGTAATGGCTATGTCACTGGACTCCCATGTAGTTGAACGCGGTTCAAGTCCCGGACCCAGCAGCTTAAACTCACGCCAGGTGCGTGTGCATGCGTGCCCAAGATCCCAAGAGGAGAATGGAGGAGAAGGGATTGTGGCATGGCCATCCCCCCTGGGGGGTGATTTCTCACTTTCTGTCTTCCTGGCAAGCACACGCACCCTATAATGAAAATCCCTCCAAAAAAAAAAAAAAGAGTTGAAGTCTTGACTCAATTCTGTCTCTTCATCTCTTTCAACATGTTCTCTGGTAAGAGATGCTAGTGATACTTTCCTGACTGGGTAGTGCTGGAAAACCTGGTGTGTGTTCAGGAATATGCAACTGGTATTGTTCTGTGGGTGAGCCTTTCCCCAGGAGTACTTTATCCTAATCAAACATTTTTACAGGTAGAAATGAGGTATTATAGCAATAACAAACAGATTGCTAGTAGGTAGGGCTGCCCTTTCCTCCATCCTTGCACACATTATGTATATATTCATTTTCACCTTTACCCACAGTTAGTTGCACACACACACAACTCAAATTGTTAATTTAGCTTGGTGATACAGCAGTGGCTTGCCGCTTAAGCGATCCTGGACCCATTATGGAAGATTAGGTTTGGTTCCCTGGTAGATCTCATAGGGTTATGGGGTGCTGGCTGAACACACCCACAGCCTTGCCTGGTTAGGAAAGGAGTTCATGGTGTTTGACACTATCGAGGGTGCTGATCTTCCTCTCTCTCTCTCTGCCTTTGTCTCCCATTTCTTTCTTACAAAAGACATAACAATCATCTTTTAATTTAAAGAAAGAGTTCTACTGATAAGGGGAAAAATAAGGGAGGTTGAAATTCACTGCTCTACTTATTTGGTTGGTTATTTCCTTACATGTAGTTTACAAAACTTTCAGGCACTTTATGAGATCTACAAGGATACTTGTGGTATCACAAAACTAGAACAAGAAATCACTAAGCCTTCCTTCTAAAATGTTTTTAAAATGCCAATCATAAATATTGTTTTAGTATCTTAGGATTAGATTTCCTTGGACATTAATTTCCTATACTTTTTTTCCTGCCATCATTCAAGCCAGGTTTTTCACCTTTAAAGTTTAGTTCCAAGGACACTAGTGGGAAGTGACACAGATGCCAACATCTGAAACACCCACTTTTCTTTTTGCAATCATGGGTTCAGAACTTTGAAAATACAACAGCTTTAAGGAGAGGAAGGCTAACTAACTTGAATCTTTCTGCCATGCAGTAATATTTAACCCTGTGAGGTAGGTGTTATTATACCTGTTTTATGAATGGGAAAAGTGAAGTCCAGGGAGGCTAAGTCACAGACCCATATTACTCAGCGAGGACAGGGAGGATCATGATCTGATCGTAGTGCTGTCTTGACTTTCAAGCTCACCACCTCTCTATCTCCCTCTCACCTGAACAAGGAGGGAGTTTATCTGATTCCCTCATTCCACACATGAAGAAACTGAGACTGCTGAAAAGTGAAAAAGATTTTACAATATCATTTGGTGGGGTTTCAGTTGGAAATCAAGTCCCTAATTCCATATTCTGATTGCATCCACAAAGTTCAGTCACTTCCCTTAGCGAGCTCTTATCCTGACTCTGGGAACTTATATTTGACTCCATCTGACATCTCATCATAATTATTGCAATTAGGAATACTGATTTTAATAAATCCTTTACATATGTAGAGTATTGTACAGTTTAGAAAACTCTTTATCTTTGCATACATAATCTTCTTTGATCTTCTCTAAAGCTCTATGAGGTAAGCTGGACAGGGATTATGATATCTGTTTTTACAGATGAGAAGAGGGTGGTTCACCAGGTTTCAATAACTTTGGTTTCAAGAACTTTCTCATGGTTACACATCTAGTAGGAATAAAGCCATCCCTGGAACCAGTCTTCTGCCTCAGCCTTTTCACTAAGATATGCCACCCTTTCTTGGTGATGTAGTACAATGTGATTCGAGAGTGCATGAGTAGGCTCATTTCTCTGGGTTTGGGGGAGTTTCTTTGCTACAGCTTTTGGGACTCTGTTTCTTTTCTGGGTCTGAGATAAAATACAAATGGTTTCTTTCTGCAGAATAATTTGTTCCCCCACCCTACCCCCCCTTTTAAAAACAAAATCTACTTCTCTTCCAGATGCCAGAGTATATATGCATATTTGAACAGTCACCTGGATCTGATTAAGAAGGCTCAGCCTGTGGGTTTCCTCACTGTTGATTTACATGTTTGGCCAGATTTCCATGGCAACCGGTCTCCCTTAGCAGATCTGACACTAAAGGGCATGGTAAGTAACAGCCAGTCCTTGCCTGAAGGTGAAGGCAGGCCAAAGGACTGCAAAATGTGAAAGAAGCAAAGTGTGAAGACAAGAGAAAAGGGAAAATAAAACAAAGCAGGTCAACAGCCCACTGACTTTCTGCAGATGCGTTATTGTTGTAAAGGTTTTTGCTGCTCCCCAGAATGATCTGCTGAAAGTTCTCGCTGTTTCTGAGACAACCTTAAGAGCAATAAAAGTAGTATTTCCTGCTGCTGCATCTTTGTCCCATGGAGTAGCTAAAAGTCATGCCTATGCAATTCTGTATTTATGTTAGTTTGCAATGTCATGTCTTCCAACTGCATCTTCAGATTTCTCAGTAAATCAGTGGTAGGTAATATGACTAGCCAGGGTCTTGCTTGCCACAGACGCTTCTAGGCTCTGAGTCAATGCTGTTCAGAGTCTACGCTAATATTTTTTGGACTTCAGATTAAACCTCAGTCAAAGTAAATACAATTAGTAACTTCTCTTGGAGGGTAGAGTCAGCTGTTAGTGACCTTTAGGGTCACTTCCAATGTGGAGATAACTGGGTTTTCCTAGTGGGCCCAGGATGAATTCTGCAGACGAGCTCATAACCTCCTAAGTAGAGATATAACGCCACAGAGGCCAGGAGAGAATGGGTGGCTGGGAGCAGTCTAGCCATCGAGAATCATGTTTGAAGATGGAGGAAGCAGGTTAAATCTAGAGAAAGAGCTTCAGTTTCAGGAAGCAAGTTAAGGCCATAAAGAGGAAAATAAGGCCTAAATGCAGAATCCAAAAAGATGTCAAGAAGCTGAAAAGCAGAGTGTGAGTTAAATAAGATAGAAGTTCAGGATGGAAGCTGTGAGCAAGGCAAGTTGAATGCCCAGGTGCAGAGCAGTGGAGCAGGCCCGCTGGCTTCAGGAACCTCAGGACTCACAGCACCACAGTTCTGTGGATAATTTTATTAAGATCCCTTTAAATATTTTTATGATGCCAGCAAAAACAGAACTTTATTTTCTGTTTGACATAATCAACTTCTGCTAATAAAAGAGTCCCAGTGAAAAGAAAAAATTGAACATAGCAAGTTATATTTGTCTGAGGTCCACAAAGTTTGCTTAACACATAACAAGCAGGGGCCTCCTTGTTTGGCCTGTAAAAGCAAGAGATGAGTGTCCAGAGAGGGCCATGTGACAGCAGGCTATGCTAGGAAGCCATACTTCCAGATAGCCAGCTCTCTGCATGCAGAGGGTAGGGGCAGAATACATTTTATATGAGCACAAAAACGAATGTCTTAGCTAAGACAAATATCTCAAGCCAAATACCGTTAGACACTAAAAATGTCAAAAAAGCGAAGAAGTTTGGCCAGTTCTTAAAATGACCCCAAAACAAAAGGTTTGCATTGCAAAATGATCATGGCTCTAGGGTCAAGCCGATCTGCGGGCCTTCTCTTGCCAACATGTGTTTTACCCAGCTTCAGTACCAGTCTGTCAGGTGTTGTGTCTCCCAGTGGCTTTGGTTTTTCTTAATACCAAGTCTGGTTTACCATCATACAGATATTCTAATAAAGTTGAGCAAAATGCAGAATGTAATTCTGAAAGAGTCCATGGAGTGTTTTGAGGAATGCCCATCTCTTTAAAATACTCAACAAAAGAGACTTCTTGTATGGGGACCTTTGCCCTATTGCATCTGCAATCTCAGTATTTTTAGTTTTTTAAAAAGTTTTGCCGTATGGGGGCCAGCAGGTGGCATGGTGGTTAAGGCACTAGACTCCCACATGGCTGGCCAGCTGACCATGATTCAAGTCCTGAACCTGGAAGCTTGAAAATCATGCCTAGCATGTGTGTGTGCATGCCCCAAATCCCAGGAAGAGAATGGAGAAAAAAGGATTGTAGCATGGCCAAATCCCCTGGAGGATTATTTTCTCACTTTCCCTCTCACTGTCTCTCTCTGTCTCCTCCCTTTGGGGAACACCCATACCCTTTGGCAAAAACATAACAAAACAAACAAACAAAAAAGTTTTCCTGTTTTATAAATATACTTAATGTATCAGTCGGTATTTCCTAGTGATTCTGGCTTTCCTTTGCAACCTGTCCTTGGGTGAGGCTTACCATGGAATAGCCATTTCCCCATGAGTTTGTATCGCAACAGTGAAAGGAGAAGGTGACCTAGAAAAGATAAAAAGGAAGGCAATTCTGGGCTAAAAAATTCACCCCAAATCTCTTTTCTTCAGTTAATGTTGGATAATATCAAAAGAATCACCCTAAAATTTCATTATCATGATATACCCTCTTTCCAGAATCTACCATGATGCCTAGTTCTCATTCATTCAGTAAATGCCTAGTCCCTATTGTGTGCCAGGCACTGATGCAGATACAGGAAGCTACACCAGTTCCTACATTTGTGGACCATGTTTAAAAGGGGAGGGGAGAAAGTACTTCATAAATTGTTAGTACCAGCACCATTGTCTGGATAATCCTAGTAGGGCAAAAACCATATACACTTTCTCCCTTTAGTACCTGAAACATATCTCTGGGCACATAGTGAGTACTGTGAACAAAAGTAGAGATAGTAAAGGACTCTTTTATTGCTCTAGAAAAAATAAACACATGCCCAGTTAAAAATACCAAATGGTATTAGATGGTTACTGATTATAACTACCCATATAGTAAATATTTGATACCGATGTTAATGTCCAACTAAATTGAGATAAGCTCTCATTTTATTATAACTGTGTTTGTTCATGAAATCCAGGCCCTGTTATAGGTGGTGGAGGATGTAAGAATAACCAGATACAGTCCCATTATCAGGAATATGACTGCCTTTGAGAGCCAGAGAGCATATATAAACAGGCAATGGGGAGACAGGGTCAAGTTCCAGGTATTTCTCATTGTTTGGTGCGCTCGAGATACATAGAAGATCCTTGCCCAACCTACTCTCCATGGTCAAGAAAAGCTTCAGATAACAGAGGAAATAGACACCAAGTAAGGCCAGGAAGAGGGTTTGAGATCAAGAGATTCAAAGTAGATGCAGTGGGCTAGAGGGCAGAGAAAACATGGCATATGAATGACTGGAATTTGGGATTCTTGTTTCTTTGTGTTACTAATGATAGGTTGCAGTTAGCATTTTCATCTTGGTAATATTGGATTGTCAGAAAAGTCATGATGCATTTTTTCTGTTTTTCTATGCAAAAATGTATCATGACTTTTCTGATGATCCAGTAAATATTGTCCATGTGTAAGAGTGTGCGTGTGTGTGTGTCTACACATAATCATTATATGTTGTGATCCCTGTAATATAGACATCTGTACAAACCAAAGGAGGTGCTCAATAGATGTCTGATGTTAGAGGATTTTTTGATGTGGCATTTGACTGATACAGCCTTTCTCTACCTCACTTAAAAAGATCTGTGAAGTTGCAAAAAAAAAAAAAAAAGGCATAAATTTGCTGGCTAGGAAAACTGGGATTGAGGTTTCCAAAGAGAATCTGGAAAGAGTTTCCTGAATCTGTAAGACTAATATAACTTATTCAATACACATAATGTATGACATAGGAACAAATCAAACCTCAAGCTTTGAAGAATTTGGCTCTCTCTACTTTCTGGTCCCTAGCTTAAAAACACAAGATCCTTTTAAGCCTAAAACAGGTCACTTATCCCTTCTACTGCTGATAATTAAGTCTTATGTTTTTGTTTTGTATTTTGGAAGCTGCCAATAAGGTCAATTTCCTAGACCTATCCCCACCCCAAGACCAAAATGTGGTGCCTTTCTTCCTTAAAATTCAGGCCATTTAAAGTTGCCAACCACAGAAGCCAGCTGGCCAGGAAGTATGAATTACAATGAACAGTGAGGGCTCATTCTAAGTATCTTGACTTAAACTATGTTACCAGGCAGAGACAGGAAAAGTCTTGTTAGCTCTGTAAATTTGGAGGGAGGGTATAGTTTTATATTGTTTGTTCTAGGTTTGGAAAGTCAACGAGTAGTCATCTATTAATATTTCAGTCCAACAAAGCTACACAAAATAATAATTGCTGTACTCTGATCATTGGCATCTAGCCATAAATTTGAAGAGACAAATACCTTGTAGGGCTAAGAATAAGCCATGAGTACTGTATGCTGGGAAATACTGAACATGTACAGCTATCTAGTTATACATGTCAGTGACATTGAAAGATAATGAGCTGAATAACTTAGGAAAAATATTGCATATAAAGAAAAAGAAATACCATTTTGAACACTTAGAGAAAGGCCTCTTGAAAATTATTTATAACAAAAAACAAAAGAAAATATAAGTACATAT